CTTGAATCTACTTGAGCAGAAGGATGTGACTTGGACAAGGGACACCTTCAACATCAAGGCTCATCAAGGAAAACGACAGAGCTCCAAACGAGAAATGGTGAGAAGACGATGAGCTCCAAGCATCCAAAATGAGGCGAAAAAACATCCTTTGGGCTGTTGCGGGTCAAATTGAAGACCTTCAGCCTTGAAAGACATGAACATTGTAAAATGATATGAAATGATCCATCTAACAAGTGCAGCTGAATCTTGAGAGATGCCCACCAGAAAGGCATTTTCCAGAAGTCGAGCCCAAGTGATTTCAACTGTCTGCTGGGATAGCGAGACTCGACCGAGGCCTGGTTTGCAGCCCTTTAACGACTAGTAGCACGAAGCTACTACTAGCGATGCACTTGCTATTATGAATCTGTTCCTTGGGCGTTCTGAAAGGTGTCGAAGTGACCAGTGAGACCTACGAGGTCGAGCGGTCTCCGTTCCATCGAAGCCCGTCTCCGTTCCATGGATTTGCTCAAGAATCTCAAGGAGCGGGGAAGCAATGAAAAAAGGATTCACCAAAAAAAGGATTCACCGAAAAGGGCACTAAACATCGAAGCTGTCACATCTTTGGTTTTCAGAGTGTCTGCCCGAACAGGTCGACCCCAATCGCAAGTCTTCCACAGACCGACACTCGATTCCATCGCTGCGGTGGAAGGAATTCCCGGCCTTTGAGACCTTTGAAGAGGCCCTCAAAATTATTGTCCACCTCCTCTTGGCACTTCCTGAGAGGTGATTCTGGCGAGCTGAGACGAAGGTCCCAAAGGCTGGAAGTGATGGGATTCTGCGCTAGCTTTACGTACACCACTACTCCGGGGAAAAACAACATAGACCGTAACTCAATTTCAAGTGCGCTTTAACATGGACCACTGGAAACGGTGACTTCCTGGGGAAACGGTATTAGCGCCTTTTTTGGCAATTTCTGGACCCTCACTAACATGGACCGTTCCCACTCTCAGTCTATGATCGATTTTGACACTAACATGGACCAACTGCACTCTGACTATAAACTGAACGCAGGCTAACATAGACCGCGCCGGTAGAGATCAACATGGCCCGGTGGAGGCTAACATGGACCATGTCACATACCTGTAGGGGCCTCCTGAACATGGTCTACGTTAGTCTCAACAGAGGTACTGCAGGTGCAAAACTAGACAGCTCTTTTAGCACGGTGGAGGCCAATATGGCACCCTGGAAAGGGCGCATTCCTGGGACATATAGGATACTGGGATTTCGAGCATCAGCAGCCAGCAAGCCCTAACATTACTCTTTTGACATATGTTACGTCTAGTTTCGGAGCGGACACCGTTGAGACTAACCTGAGTCAGGCTTGTGGCTAACATGGACCATTCCCACTCTCGCTACTCTCAGTCCACGGTCCAACCTCTCGCTACTCTCAGTCCACGGTCCAACCTGACACTAAGTTTTCCAGATATCGAGTGAGGCATGTGGCTAATATAGACCACTTCCACTCTCAGTCCCTGGTCCACACTGACACAAACTTTCCACAAACCTGAGTCAGGCGGGTGGCTAACATGGACCGTTCCTACTCTCAGTCTATGATCGATTTTGACACTAAGACTTACTGCACTCTGACTATAAACTGAACGCAGGCTAACATAGACCTTTCCGGTAGAGGTCAACATAGCCCGGTGGAGGCTAACATGGACCATGCCAAGTACCCGTAGGGCCCACCATGGCACATCTGAATTTGGTCTAGGTTAGTCTCAACGGTGTCCGCTCGGAAACTAGACTAACATATGCAAAAAAAAGTAAATTTCTTTTTTTGGCCAAAATGTTAGTTTTCACCGGTGTAGCTAGGAAGCTCGGCACGAGGAGGCTTTCGTGCGCGGACAGCTGTCTGGCCCCCCTTGCGAGACTACCCATGCCAGCAGGCATGAAGTACGATGAGCGCAAGCTCTGCACGGTGTCTGAGCGAGCGAAAGCATGGAAATCCCTGAGTTGTACTGCTGGCCGAGGAGTTCGGCTTAAATCATACGCAAAGATATGCAAAGCAACTTTCCCTTAGCTCGAAGCAACTCGATTTAGTGCCACACTGCAGCGCACGCTCGTAAGTTAAGTCAAGTTGACATAGGATTTCACCGGGGGGAAGGGCTTTTCAGTTAACCTGGGTGGTGGTTTCCAGAGCTTGCCCTTTTCTTGTGCCATTCGGATATCATCGGACATCTCATGCCCTGTCTTGGCAAGCATCCGAAGCGCCTCCGCCAAGTTATTTCGAAGGATCTGGTTGATCTTATCATAACCTGGGCCACCACAAAAAGAAGCGAACGTCGCACATGGCTCGTCGCTTATCGCAAACCTTGAAAGAAAAGGTCCTCCAGTCGCACTGAGAAAAACTCATCTTTGCACTGCATGGCAAATTGGTTGCTTTCATTCTTGGTGCTTTCAGTGCTGTTTTGACCGACCACCAGAGCCCGGGCCTCCCAATCGGAAGACAAACATGGTATCCTACGACGTGCTGATAGAAATCAATCCAAACGACACCAAGCTCCTTTTCACCTAAAGCAGCCTCCACTTCAAGTGGCGCAAGACCAAATACCTTCGACATCCTTCGACAGTGTGGCTCATTGGCGCCTCTACTCATGGCCGTTGCCTACAGCGTTGGCTGCCACGAGGACGATGGAGGACGATCATCGCCGAATCATCGCAGCTCAGTGACTGCCCATCTCTTTCAACACCAGGCTGTTAATCATGTCCTTGTCTTCCTGCACCCCAAAAAACAAAAAACACTTACAACCTGCTGTCCACACACTTCGGAATCTTCTACTGCTAGCATCTGGGCCATTCTGGGCCTCCCAAACAATGTGCTGAAGTGACACTGCAAGAGAGCCACACGTTCCTACACCTTCTATGCTTCTCACGTTGTCCCTATGAGTGCTGCGCCGAAGTGAAGCATTCCGCGGCTCGTCCGCCTGGCTCGTGGCCGTCGCGTGCTCCAAACCTGAGTGCAATCGCCGTGTTCGGAGCCCTGGTGGAGCCCAGCAAGTTCGGTGCGTGGAAAGGAGGAGAACTGGAAGGCCTATCTGAATGCACATGCATGTAGAGAAAAACGCAAGGGCGACAAGTGACTCAAGTTTGACCGGTTTACTACTAAGCAGACTCCGCAACTAGCACTCTTCCACAAGTGACAGTTGTGAGTGGTTGGAGGTCCAAAGGATGCTAGTAGAGAATCCATCGCAGCACTTATTAGCCAGTTGGCTGATTTCATCTTTTGAGCAATGCCTAATGCCTCAGCAGCACTGACCATCCCTAACTTATGGCCGAAGCAAAACAGAAGCTCCCATGCGGCAAAACCACTTCCTTTCCCCTTTCCCTGCATCTGTGTTTTCCCCCAAAGGCTCGCCGCATCGATTGAGCACGTTCCACCCCACTCGGGTGACCGCTCCGGCCGAGGGGCTGAGGTTCTTGATGTTCTCGCCGATCTTCATCGCGATCTCCACCGTGGCCTGTCCGTAGTTCCTGCGGAGAGACCACACGAACGACCCCCCGTCGTTCAGGGGACCGGAGACAGGAGGGATGGAGTGACAGGCGGAGTGAGGGGAATCTTGGAGTGGGGAGGACTGGGGTGAGTTTGGGGGGCCACGGTCACGTGAAAATGGCCTCATCTTCATGAGATGCCCCCCTCTCCAAACCCATCAAAGCCCGGGTCCGTCATGGCTGTTGCTGGTTGGATCTGGTTCCTTTGACCGGACCTTGGGCTCGGTCCCCTTCACCTTGGTGTTCATGAGTTCCTCCCACAACCCTCCCCTTGGTGAGTCCAAGGCTGGAAAGAACACATCCGCCAAGGCTGCCAAGGCTCAGCACTCCAGTTTTGGTGCAAAAGAACATCCCTGCCTGAGATCGTCCGCGCCGAGTCGTGACCCAGATCTGATCTCAAGATACACGGTCGTGACCAGGTGTATCTGGCTACGTGAAGCCCCCGCCAAAAGGATTCAATGGTGGTCACTTGCACAAGGGGAACTCATATATAGGTATGGTAAAACCCATGGGGGATCACTACACTCTTGAAAACAAAAGAAACCTGCAGGTGGTTGGGTCGGCCACCCCGGAGGTGTTAAAGGCCAAGCGAATCACACCCTGTCTGGAAGCCTATAGGTTATAGGTAGTGTGGGGTAGTCCAGCCAGGACACTCCGAGGGTCGGATGGTCCTGGTCCGTGCGCCCAGTCGCTGATTTTTTGGGTGGTGCCAACTCACAGGGTGTCACCAAGAGGTGGGGCGACCGCATGGAGTCGGCGACCGCATGCGGCTGATCGGGGCTGGGCCTCTAGGGAGTGGAGGACTTCTCAGTGCTGTGCTGATCCTGAAGGATGGAAATTCTCGGATTCTTTTGCAGATCCTGAAGGCAACATCAAGGGAACAAAAAGCAGACTAGCTCGGATCCGTTTCTCCGATCTGTACACCACTGGACCGATGTTTATATATCTGCCATCTGCCCTGAACAAGAAAAACAAGTGAGCTGGGAGGGTTCCTACTCCATGAAGACGGCAGTTTGTATAGACGAATTGGCACATTGATCACAAAATGGGACTGCCGGATCTTGATGTTTTCCCCCATTCCAGTCAATCTGAGATGCAAATTCCCGTCTGGAATCTGTAGATGCCGAAATGATTTGCAGCCTCTTCCGCTCCGCTTCAGCTTCAGACTTCCTGGCCGGTCAAGGAACAGAATCTAACCGATTCCACCATACACAGCAAACAAGCAGAAGGGCTTCTCAAGGATCTGCAGCTAGGTGGGTGTCCATGTCTTGAAAATTGCGCTTCTCACCACCTTCCGTTCTCCACCACTGGGATTCGATGATACACCAATTAAACCCTTGGCACCCGTGAACTTGATCAATATCATCATTCCACCAAGGCTGGTTGGAATGTATTCAGCAAGGTGCACGCTATGTGACCTTGCAAGCAAGCTATCGGAAGCATGGCAGTTCTCCACCCTCAAGTGCTGCGATTCATGAACAACACATTTCGATCCCCATCCAAAACAGACTCTTTGAGGCCAACCGCCGTCCAACCGCCGGTCCATCCGCCAAAACGAAACCCGGAGCGTTCTGAAACATCGGACGCCTCACGGTTTGCAAGAGCTCAAACAAACACCAGGATCTCTTCAGTAAGGAGGCTTCCTCATCCATGATCATCGCCGTCCCCTGAGCACTGGAAATTGGACGGCAAACGACTGGCAAACGGAGAGGGAAGACTGGAACTTTTGGGACCTCTCAAGGGTTCAAGGTGGCAGTGTTTGAACCCTCCTTTGAACAGTGACCGTTGCCACGGTTAAAGCATATCACAAGCACCGCCAGAACCACTGCTGTCCTTCTTATCTTGAGCACAGCGCGTCATTTGCATTTTCACGTAGCCTATAGCAGTGCTTTTGCATCATCCGACCCCATTTGGCTGGAAGTGCGCTGCCAACAATTCTGTGCTAACTCATGTCTCGGCTTCATGTTTTCGCTGGTATTTTGCACTTCTGAACTATCCACATTCGGACTCTCTCTTTTTTGCTCTTCTCTACGACCACCTCTGCCTCCGAAGGCCAACATCAACTGTTCCCATGGCCTTGCACTTGGGGCTGTGCAGCGCTAAATAGAAGGAGGACTCTTCATGCGAATGGCCACCCAGCTCCTGCCCGCACGAAGAAGGCTCTCGTGCTCTCACGAATGCGCGTGATGCGAAGCTGCCAGGCCGTCAATAGGGCCACGCGAAGGGTTTTCCGTCTTGGACGGTGGCAGTTCTTCATTCACACTTCATGACTATCAACTTAAACTCCGTCTTGATGTGGATGGGAAACACACATTTTTTGATGGTTGGTGACGTTTGGTGCCCCCAAGCAAGGGTCAATTGAGGACTTGGCATTTCATATCCACTTGTTGCTCTTCAGCAACTTCTCCAGCCGCCACGATCACCAACCCCTCCAAATCAAAGGCCTCGTTTTACTGGGCTCTATTTTCTGCAAAACTGATAGCAAAATTCGACCTCTAAAAGCTTTTCGTGGAAATGGTGGAAAGCCCGACTTTACTCCGTAAAGGACGTCTTTTACTTTGGCAACTATAATTAGAAGTAAAAGACGTCTTTTACTTGGCAAATGGTAAAAGTAAAAGACGTCTTTTACTTTATGCATATATGGTGCACACATACATGGCACGATGATTGTGATTCAACATGCTGCACCAATGGCTTTCCAGGAGCGTTTTGCTCTACTTTCCGTTATCGCGCGAACATCGCACAGACAAATATGTGTGGCAACAATGCAACAAGCGCATGCATATCATATAAGTGGCGCCCAGGCTGCTAGATCTTTTTAATCTGAAGCAAGGTCGATGCGTTACAACACAGACAACGCATGTGGTTGAAATTGGCCGTTTCTGGCCCGGGCATGGGACCGTGACTCTCGCGTGACTCCCACCTAAACCACGAAGTTTTTGACGTCCTTTACTTAGTAAAGGACGTCAAAAACTTCGCCATGGACATCATTGGGCGTGACTCTAGCATGACTCTAGTGTGACTCTATAGCATGGGACCTGCAAGCTTCTAATGCGATTTGACGATGAACTGTCATCGGCTTGAACAATGCACGCGTGCAATTGCAAGCAGCAAACATGACTCCCACGTAGCCATGTATATCATGGCAATGTAACTGGTAAATTGAGCAAACAACGTGCGCAAAAAAAATACACCAAGAAAAGATTCGCACGCGTGGACTTGCGTAAGGCATGTCGCCGCTAAAAGTGAGCGTATGGGTACCATGTCTCCGGTATGCATGCACATATGTATGTATAAGGACCATCGAACCCCAAAAAATGTTCCATGGAAATGACCTTAATGCCCAAAGAAATTTGTGTGGAAGTGGTGACCTTAATGCCCAAAGAATCTTCCGTGGAAATGGTGACCTGAAAGTTTTTGAAGGTCAAAGAAAATGTGACCTCGTAAAACTGGGTCGTTTACAGCAGGACCTCGTAAAACTGGTCCTTTTGAGGTGGAGGGAACCCTCTGTTCTCTTTTCAGTATCACCTTTTTGACCAACAGGATCGGCAAAAGCAATAGAGCAAATAGAGGTACCTCAACGCTCGGATTCTGAGGTTACTATAACTCTACCCTATCCTTCCAAGACTGTAACAGAAAGGTTGAGCTGGTTCTGCAGTGTAATGTCGTTAGTAAAACACATGTTGCTCGGTAAACGCTGCCGCTATTAAATCAATGGTGGTTGGAAGACTCGGGGTATAACAATGAATTTGAATGTGGCTGGCTCTACATGGAGCTCGGAGTAGCCCAGCCAGCTGCAAAGTCTCTCAGCCACGTGCCGAACAACAGTCCTCCTGCACTCTGTACTGATTGTTGCTAAAGGTGCAAATCCAATAGGCAATCTTCTTCCTCAGGTGCCAAATCCAATACGCCTTTATTCCTCATAAGTTTACCCGGAGTCTGAAAACATCTTGGAGACGTGGTGGAATACTGAAAATGGCTACACCCCGTGGTTTAACTATAGACTGGTGTTGGATCGCCGTGCTTGGAATCTCGGACGACATGAGCTGGAATAGGATCTCCCATCACCGGACCTAGCATCGAATCGAACCTCCCTGGCATCAAAGCTGTCGAATCAAATCCGAAAGACGTCCCTCACACCGGGACACCTCTTGGCACCATCCCTGACTGCGGCCCTCGGCCAAGACTCCAATCAGACTCGTCTTCGGAGTGGCACATGTGGATGGCATGGCGCTTCACCGATTCGCAGAAGTTCATGAAGGGCGTGCCCCACCAGTGACTAATGAAGAAATCCACCTGTCGCGCGTCTCGGCGTTGGGAACGAGAGGAAGAACCCGTGCTTGGACGATTTTACAACATCCAGTCGCAATTTCAAACTGGAGACAAGCGCAAAACAAATACTATATATAATAAGTTATAATAACAATAAGTAATTACATCTCTTTATCCGTGTCTATTGCAACATCTCACACCTCCATACCTACCATTTCCCCATCCCTCACAGGACAGCTGCGCATCCTCAATCCTTTCCCAGTGCCCCACCCCGGAGACCGGCGGCCTGACTGGGCCCCACGCGCTCGGCAAAGCTCAAGCGATGCTTCTTGGTCAAGGGCCTCACCTGGCGTTCGCTCACTCGCGTGAAACAACACGGCGAGTGAGGCGGTCAGGTCGCATGGTCTGGTCCCCTGTGAAAGTCTCAGGCGATCGAAGGATCCATGATGCACCATGCCATGATTCTAGGAGATCCAATGGCCTGATCCGAAGAAATGAACAATGGCCTGGTCCTTGTGTGAACAAGGGAAATCCCATGAAACCCCTCCACGACCTGATCCAAAGACTATCGACGGTTTTCTCACCGGAAGGACCGAGAGTATGTGTTCTCCGGCTGAGCAGGTTACTTTTGTGTCTTTCTCCTGTCTGTTCATGTCTTTTCACATTGGTTTTGGTTTTGGAATCGGCTGGAGATGACTGGGGCACAACACGAGGTCGGGATGGAACTCTGGACTTTTACCTTTGGAAGAATTCGATGATATAGAGATCGCCTCTTCCAAAGGCCAGGACTTCGTCTTCGGAAGGTCGGATGGACTCCATCTCTGGTGGTACGGAAGGGCAATCTTTGCGATCATCATTGCAAATACAGTACATCATAAGTTGGTCCTATAAATCAATGCATTCATTGCATGCATATGTAAAGCAACCTCGCGAATCGACATTCTCCGAGTTCAGCCCAAGGGGTCTCACACTCGCCATGCCCAGCCGCACCACAACACTAGAAGCACGGTGCGGCACCTCCAAACGCACCAACCACACCAACCTGACCTGTTCCCCAAGGGCACAGGTACCGGAAAAAGCGTCGTTCCACACACGCCCAGCGAACTCGACTCGACCCTTCGACCTCTCTTCGCCCAGTGGCCAGGTTGGGATCTAAGTAGTACATGTTCCGCCCTTTGATGAAGGCCTCGGGGTTCCCCGCGGCGTCCCGCGGCGTCCCGGAAGGTCCAGCGCACATGGCCGAGTCGTGGGGGAAGGGCTGGGCGAAGACCACGAGGTGCTTGCACTTGATGGGAATCAGTGCCACTGTGCTATTGTTGGTTTTCAGAAGCACTTTGGAGTGGCACTCACGCCTGAAGAATTGATGTCGTAAATGCCTTGAATGCGCTGCCAGTTCTCTGGTAGCATCCTGCAAGACATATATTGCTATTCCCACGGTTTTTCGACAAAAGGAGCAAACCAGTCACAAGAACTTCTGTTGACCATCCTAAAGCCATCCAAGGGCACTACAACTGGCACACCTCAACTGCTCCTGTGACCTGTTTTATACCACGCGTGTTACCCACGGCGGCCCCACACCCTACAAAGGTTGAACAGCCCTAATTCGCCCATCCCACATGCTCCCCATGCAAAATCCCCAGTGCAGGGTGTCTCCCCAAAAGAAGAACCTCCAACAAAAACCACCTAACTGGTACATATTTGTACCGCCCCCCCGGGGCATGGACCACCGGACCTACCCCCCTTCCACCGGACCCGTTCGGCCACGCCCGTGCCGCCTGGAAGAAGTCGTAGAGATCGAAGAGTTGAAAGGCGGTCACCGCGCGCTGGGCGCCCCGTGGACAGGCCTTCGGCTTAGGATGCTGCTCATCCAGGATCCGATCTCGGCGCGGTGCGCGCGGCGCGGGTGGCGAAGAAAAAGGATTTCCCCAAACACTCCATGTGAGTGGGCGTATTTGCATACCTTGGGGTGGATGCACACGCATGTCATATTACAAATTGGAAGGTGGTTTAGCCCTGCAGTAGTCATATAAGTGCATCTTCATTGGCCATCGCAAGAGGACGTTGGGGTGGTTTCAGGGGCCAATGTAGGTATAGATTCCATACATGGAGCTTCTGGGATCCTTTCCTCCAATCACAGTGGCAACTGATTGGGTGACGGAGGTGCAAGGAAGCTGACGGCGGAAGCTGGCTCCGACATAGAAACCCGAGTTCAAAGACTCTTTTGGACGCCACTTCAAAGTGTGGCTTGGAAATTCCCTGGACTCGGCTCACCTGCAACACCGTCATCCCCGTGCTACGAACGAACATCGCACATGAGAAAAAAGACTCGGATCACCTGTTGTCGCGTTAAAGAGGCCCTTCCTGGACTCGGGGGGTCCATCTGTTTTCGACTCATTTGTCACCTCAACAAGGTCTTTCCTGGTACAGGCCCCTCCGAATACATCCATTTGGCAAGACAGACCACAATGAACCCTCTTGTGACATCTCACCATGCCTGGGAAAGTGATTTCTGCCTCTCTGCGTGCCATGCTGTTGACTTACTTTCGTCGTTCGTTGCTAGAAAGAGTCAGCCAGTCACTTGCCAAGTCTGTCTAGGCACCAAGGAAGTAGATTGTTTCTAGATGTAGTCGGCTCGAAAAACGGATGGCAACAAAACGGATGGACAAAGGAAACACCTCTTAGTGTAGCTCATCGGCCCAAGTTGTAGCTGAGACCTGCAGCCGACTGCAGCTCGAGCGGCTGTATTGCTGCACGCGTCTGGACAGTGGAGATCGATACTGTTGCGTCTTCCTCGATTCACCAAGTCGGAAGGAGCGGGATGACTTTCCACATGCACTCTCTGGAACTAACCTTAGAAGTGGAAAATGGCCCCTTGGAAGACCATTTTCCTCTACAGACAGGTTTTCCACTTCCAAGTTAGCTTCAGGGAGAGCTAAGCCCACGAAGGCATCTGGGTATGACGCCAGACTCACTGGATCTCAGGGGTGAACATCGAAACATCGGACATCTTTCAGACGACTCAACGCACCAGATCCAGTCTTCGCCAGTCTTCCCGCACCCGCACCGAGTTGGATGCCCGAGGATGCGAGTCCGGCCAAGAGTCCAGTAGATCACACGCATCCAAAAGGCCAGCATCAGCTCGATGGCCGAGAGGATCAACACGAACTCGGCGGCGCACGAAGAACACACCCGCAAACGCGCGCACAGGGTGCGCACACACGTCGGTGCCGTAAGGGTTGCGTTCGCGAGCGCAGCGTCGGGCTCGCAGGCGTCAGGTCACCGGAGAAACGTGATGACCCCCAGCGCCCGGCGTCGGGAGCATCCCTCGTTAAACGTATCCCTGGTTTTTGTAGTGTAAAATCCTTAGTTGATTCGGTAAAGCCTATTGAATGAATGGTTGTTGGAAGCCTAGGGTATGGATGAACATGCTAGGACTACGAAGTGTTCCTCCGACTCTTCCATGTTTGCTTTCCAGGGTAGGCTTCAATTGTTTTGCAGGTGCGTGGCGGTAGAGCACCCACAGAACTAGCAATAAAGCTTTTTGGATGGAGGGAAGGTAGCCCTACAACGAGGCGCACCCCCTAAGGATCACAAAGAAGCCGCTACAAAACATCAAATGCATCCGTTAGCTGTTAGCTTTCAGAGCTGTACCAAAACCCTAGGGCTCCAGCCGTACCTTCTGAGAAGGTGGGACCGGGGTGGGTATAGGTCCAGTCATAGCTTCTGAGCGGGTACGACTGGAGCCCTAGGGAAACCACCATGTCATCCCCACAGGCATCACCTGCGACATCTCACGGGCGGGTCCCTGGCCCTGCGAGCTGGGTGATCCAGGCTGACAACGGAGGAGATCCATATTGGATCGCACTCAAGCCGACCGCGAAGAGGACCACGATCAACACCATCACGGGACACACCTCGTGGAAGGGTTTGGGTGTTGAACGATGTTGAACGTCTTGGGATGTCTTGGGACACATGGAAGTTAGCATGAAGCAATCATCACCAACACACTGGCAAATACTGTAGTCAGACATACAATGTGGACATGCGGACCCATATTTCATAGGCATGTAGGCTCCACAGATCGGCAAGCCACCAAAACATCTAGGCTCCCTAATGTAGACTTCCAATTTCCCTCCCAAAAATGGGTCTTGTCCCAAATGGACGGGGGTTTCTTCCTCAATGCGTCCATATCAACCCTCCTTCGGTGCAGTCCATGTCCGTGGGGCCGGAGTCGGTCTGATCTGGCCTGATAGAGCTGGCCATACCAGAAGGTGCCTCCAGCGCACCCCGTGACGACGCACCCCGTGACGACGCGGAACGCGAGGAGTTCGGATTCGATTGGTTGGGAGGTGTGCTATCGGAGCTGAAGCTCATCGTGCTGTAGTTGAGCCACAGCTCACATTATGTAACGGGACTAGGACTGTTCGAACTCTCCTCCACCAAAACGCCACAGCAAAGAAAGAAGCGCCCAGTTCAGCTTCTGGTGCCCTTCAACTCTCATCCACCATCATACGAGTAACCAAGGATTTAAATCTCATCAAGGCTCCATGAGGGGAACCATTTTTATCACCTACTCAGTTGAGGGTTTCGCAAACCACACTCCAACTCTGCCTTGGCACCTGCCACCGGCACCCAAAGCACTCGGGTGCACCAGTCCACCACATAACCCACCCGAAGAGTGTTTGGCGCTCGCGGACGCGCGGCGCTCGCGGACGCGGAGCTCGCGGACGCCTGGGAGGGACAGCATGAAGTGGCCGCCTGAGGCGTCGGCCACGAAGACGTCGCCAGAGAGGCTAGTGATCTCCAGGCGCCGCGAGTCCAAGGCCGTCACCCTGGCGGTGGTGAAAGCGGGGTGGAGGGTGGGGTTGGGCACTCTTGAATGGCTACTTTGGGATGAGAACCTTCAATTCTCAATTTGAGTCCCTACTGCACACAGCTAGTTATGGAAATATCGTATAGAAGAGCGGGTTGCACACCTTCAGCACAGCGAGCAGACAGTTCAGCAAACTGCCAGTCATTAGGTAGCCGACTCTAACTCACCAAACCTCAGAGCAAATCGAAGCTCTCACGGCCTTCGCCTGTGCCCGTCCAGGAGGAAATGATTCGTCCCATAGAAAATCACCTGGAAGGTTGTACCTCAGAACGCTCGTTTCAACGCCTTCCATCACCGCAACAACTGGCATAAGATGGCTGGTAAGAAGTGATTGCAGCAAATTGCAAGCCATGATAACCCATGTCTGATCAACAGTGGAAGCAGTTCCAGGAAATACAAAGAGTTACTGCGTTTCTCAAGCAGGATGTTCATCCTGTGGCACCTCCAAGGCTTTGTGGCACCTCCAAGGCTTTGCAAGGATGGAGTCAATAACCAGCGAACAAATGCATGTCCGTCATCTCTTACCGATTGATCTCCAGCCTCTAAACAGATGGTGTGCTGGTTGGCAACCCCACACCCCAAATAGAACCCCCGAATGAACACACTCCTTCCAAAACTCCTCGACCTTCACCCGAATTTGTCGAAATCTCCGAGTTCGCCCCCCCGATGATAGGCCAGAAAACGACGAGAGTCGCTCAGTCAAATGAGGATGGCAAAAACACATGAACAAAGGGTCGTTCCACCATGTTCGCCCGGGTCGTAGCCACCGGCCACCACGAGGATCCACCGTCCGGTTGACCAAGGTTGGGTGCTATGAACCGCCAGGGCGCCGATACGCAAGTGATGCTGACCCAGACTGGTCATCACCAACTTCGTCCCCTCACCTTGGTGGGCGAAGGCGTCCGCGATCGAAAGAGAGAAAAGGAAGGACCCTCTCGGCGTTCTTGGGTTCGGTCTGTCTGGGGGTTGGAAGACCATCATTGATACATCATACCAACAGAGGTTGAAGAACCCTAGTTCGACTATCCCAGTTTGGTACCCCAGTAAGGTCCTATAAGGTCACTTAACCTCTGTAGGTATCTTCTACATCCCATACTGGTGCCCGTTGAAGGATACTAAACCACCATGGAACGCCGATTTGCAAAAGTCAGTACTTAAGTCAAGACTGCTGGCCTTCCCCATTGTAAACGCTACATACAGAACAAGGTTCTCCAGATTCACCTTTCCAAAAATAAGAGAAAACTTCAACTGCAAATCCCAATGGCAACGCAATTTGGAGAGCTACCCGACGTGGTAACTTACCCCGTCGCACATGAACTTGACCCACCCCCATGGCACACCGCTTACTCCACGAATGTAAGAACTTACCCAATTTGGACAAAATGGCACACCGCTTCGAAACAAGCACTTTTTCTCCAAGATTGTTTCTAAACCTACACTATTCCATTGCGATTCAACCTTCTGCAAAGGTTATCTATGGGTTGCCGTGATCCAATCCCCATGACACCCCGATTCTGACCACATGTTGGTACCAGCTTTAAGTTTCTACCTGGAGTGCAAACAGCATGGAATTGTTCTTAAACGTCAAAAATATCTATGCGTTCTTGTGTGTATTCCTCTCCCAATCCCCATGGCACACCGCTTCGAAACAAGCACTTTCTCCTAGCCTAGATTGTTTCTAAACCTACTACACTATTCCATTGCGATTCAATCTTCTACACGTTGATGGGTTCTAAGGTTTCCTATGGGCTGAAATGATCCAACCCCCATGGCACACCGATTCTCACCGCTTCCGAGGGTTGGCCCTGTAAGCCCTTGGAGGGTTGGACATATGAGACCCACAATCCCAAGATGAAGGGGAACCTATGGGCTGCCTATAGAAACCTCTAGAAACAACCTATGGGTTGCCTGCCAACTTCCTTGCGGTAGGTCTTGTGCAATCAAAACACTGTGAACGCTGAGTAAAACAAGCCCATTGAATAAAACCATGCATTTAGAAAACATCTTCCAACACACTCTATCCTGCAAGGAAACGCTATAGTGTATCGACTTCCTGGTTTGCTCATCACCTTCTATCTGCTATTT